AAATGTTTTCCGATTACATGGCTCTCAAGCCATGTACCTAGTAGCTGTGGTGTATGCCACACCACAGCTCCCTTGGGAGAGTGACGGGTCACTCTCTATTACATGACTCTCAAGCCATGTACCCATCTAGTAACTGTGGTGTATGCCACACCACAGCTCCCTTGGGAGAGTGACGGGTCACTCTCATGTAACCCGTCATGTACGATATACAATCATATACAATAAGAAACAATCGTACGGAATCAAACTGTACCTGGTTTTTCATAAGTACCCAAGTATCGATATTAATGTTGGTGAAGTTACAAAGTTTGTTACCGCACTCAGACAATAAAGACAGATTTATTATACGAGACAGTAATTCGTCAAATTGATGAATCAAAGTATCAAAGTACATATATTTACGATGTATAGCCGAACGAGGATAACTAGTAAGTTATCGGCCAAGCGTATCGCATGATCGAGCCATATCACGTTTCGATGCGGACGACTGAAGGCGGTTCTAGCTCGTACTTGTTGCATGCTCCTTATTTAGTGATCGCGAGATCAATTTGTGGGTTGCGCGTAAGCGAACGGTCTCACATCAAAGAAGTTTTGGCAGCTCGTTAAATTGGGTAATCTTCAACCATCACAACAAGCTAATCTAGATGATTCCAACACTAAAATAACGTGTGAGAGGATGCGCTCAGAACTTGACGAAGGTAATATTAAATCACCTCAGAAGCCGGATTTATTTTAACAAGATCACAACAACATCTGTTTGTTACATAAATATGTACCACAAACGTTGCAAACAAGGCCACCACAATGAATCAGAAAGCTAGAGAGTCCTGTGGTCAGGTATTTACGTAATTAATACGTACAAGACAATGGTAATTGACATATTAAGAACCTTGCTTTCTTACATATCAGAAGCCAACTAGATAAAGCTAATAACCCGATTCCTTGATAAAATGTTTGAAACCTGTGTCGTCTTCAAGAGTAGGCACTACTGTCTTTAAACTTGCAGGAATAGAACTGTTGTATGCATTAGTCTGGTCAGAGTCATGAAGTGTGAAGTTAAATTAAAAAGAAAGACAGCTTACTCTTTTTTTGAAGGCAAGTCCATGCCTAAAAGCAATAAAAGTTTCTTCCGAATGAGGCGCACGTGAACAATCTAGCAAATCGCACCGATGAGTAACTTTTTTTGCATGATATTTACGACTTACCGAAGCCTCCCATGCTGTATTGCTCAAGATTTCAACAACTGTGTCGTACTAACAAGCAACATGTCAAATTAGTGGTGATATAAACTTTCTTCGCAGTATAACAAACCTTTTCGCCATCAATTACATTTTCGTGAAGAAGCAATCGCGTGTACAATTTTGCTGCAGTAAGTTGGCGCACCTTGGGAAATTTGTGCCCTAAAAAGAGCACTAAAGCGCGCAAACTTTTCGTTTCTGTCCCTGGATCGCTTGGAAGCAAACCAATCAGCACATATATCGCTGCACTAAGCTTCGGAACCAATGTGCACTTTTGAATTGCATTGCACAGCTCCTTGTACAATTGCTCTCCAAAGTCTGAAGCAATAGTGTCATTTTCATCGTCTTGGCGCTTCTGGAATAAAAATTGCAACAAATTTGACTCTAGCAGCAAAGCCAAAGTCTTCATTATAGGAACCGCGATGCGATCATCGCGATGATGGCGCTTCAGTAGCGTCAAAAGAAAAAAGCTAAAACGATTTAAAACACCATAATGCTTTGCAAGTAGGTGTTTACGCATCCACTCAAATAAAGCGCTCTTTGAAGCTTTCGTCACGCTTTCGGTTAAACCACCCACACTTATGACGAGACCAGCTGTGACTTCCTCCAGAAATTCTGGAATATCCATCATCTGCACAACCAAAGGAAAGGTGTCATTGGCCATGGACCAATTAACCTCTAGATTTAAAGGGAAGATTTTTTCGAGCTGAACACGGCCGGGAATGCCATCCACCCGAGGAACAGTTGAATGGAGCAATCGAAACAAGATACTCCCAGCCGTCATTCTCATAGTATCCAGCTTCTCTGCTAATTGTTTTGCCAGCACTGTACACTATGTCGACGAGTAGAGAGGAAATCAAAATTAGTTGCTAGATTGGGTATTGAGTTGCATGAATAGCTTACGATTGAGCTGACAAGATGTGGCGACATTCGTCGAATAAACGGCATGTCAAGGACTGGGAAAGTAGCTGAGTGATCTTCTGCAAATTTTAACCGAGTCGCAAGATTGGGAACTACAGAATTGTACTCGCAGCTTACTTCAGGGTCTGCACTTGAGCTCACGATCAAGCTCTTCGCATGAATCAGCCCCACTCCTTCTGGACTAAAGTAATAGTAACCTAGGGTGGGCTTCTCAAACTTTACATAGCATACTGAGTCAGCTTTGTTTATTTCATCGGTCTTCCATTTTTGTCTGAATAACTTGTCTACAATGACACCTGATCCATAAGCTGTCTGAACTCGCGTACCAATTATATGGCCGTCATTGTTTTGTGCGGGTGAGTTTACATCAAGAAGCAACTTCTCAAGTCCCAACATTGCCGCTTTACGGACCCAAGAGCCGACATCTCCACGCTCATCAAGACGATAATCTAGTTGAATACATCGGACAAGAGTTGAAACGACCTCATCTTCCATACCATTGAAGTCAAGCTCGTCTGGCGGTCGAGAACTAAGATTAACTAGTGCTTGCACAGCCGCCACTCGACTTCCAGGATCCTCGTCTTCACGCGGATGCTCCTGAATTAATGCAGATTGAATAACGACATCTAAAACTTCCTTGACACAAGGTTGAACGAGTTCCTTGGCGGCAACTCCAACAGCGCGCAAATACCCTTGTCTAGCTGCAACGCATGGATTTGGAATGCGAGCAACAGCACAATTTTCCTTTGAAGTCACCATGATGCCAGAGTTGATGTATCGAGGTATAATTCCTTGCATGTGATAAACATGCGAAGGAGTACCCTTTTGAAATACTTTATGGCAGTATTGAGTCGTGAAAGCACTAAATGCATCGATTGCTGCATCGCGTACTCTTTCATTTGGGTGAACAAAACATTCTTCCAGTAATGATAGATACTTTTTCATATGAGCAAATCCCAAACTCAGTCGACAGGTTGATATTACTTCAATCACATTGCAGACTGCACTTCGAATCATTTCACCACCGCGACCGCGAAACAAACGCCGATTTTCAATTTCAATGGGCAGCATTTTCATCTTTTTCTGTACCTCTCCATCGATGTTAGCGGGTAAGAGTCTTAAGTTTGCTAACAACTCAGCACTACTCATCAGAGCGCCATGTCTGACAATTACTTCGACATTTGGTGAAAGAGCAAGTGTCATAATTCGAGGAAAAACCTCCATCATGACATGTGGTGGATCCAACGCACCAATTTTCCCCAAAGCAGCAGCGGCTAAAGTTCGGATTTGAGCATCCCAGTGCACAATTTTTATGGCAACAAGATGCTCCAGCAATGCGTATCGATAGTCCGGATACTTTGCAACAAAGACGCTGACGTCTAAGTAGGCATGACGCAAATTCGCTATAGAGAAATAGTCGGCTTTTGTCAGCAAGTCAATACCATTCGGAAAGTTTGTGCGTCCTTGTCGTCCTATATTTTCTTGAAATGCTGCCGATGAAGCTCGACGACAGTTAAGTTCGCGATCAAATACACAATTTACAAGCATCGCTGGTGCTAAGACTTGTTGAAGCCAAGGCAATAGCAGCGAAGGCTCGTATGCACGTGCAAACGACCAGCACGCATAACAAGCAGCATCGCGCACATGAGAGCCTATACTATACGTGCCTTTGCGAATGTCGTAGGTTAAAGCATTTGCTACACAGTCCACTGCGTCTGGAAGACGTTGCGGGAGTAAGACTCCGCGACGAGCGAGTTCGGCCAGTGCCAAGCTGGCCCCATGCCAAGCACCATCATCCTCTGTTGCCACAAAAAGTTCAAGCACGGACTGAACAATATCGTCCGCATATTTGTATGGCAAACGTCCAGTTATTCGTCCGATTCCCTTGGCAGCCGACCATCGTACTACTGTGTCTCTATCTCGTAAGCCACACAAAAGAGCTTCTACTATCTGCTCCAGCTCTTCTACCACTTCAAAAGCGTCATCATCGTCATCATCGACCAAATCTACTGAACGACTGATTGTAGATGTGACATTGTTACCAGTGGCCAGGCTAAAGGATAGCATGTTCAGCTCTAGGGATCGTAATCCGCGACTATAGCGCCACGATCGCACCTTTGGAGGTAGATATAATAAGCCTAGACGTTGCACTAATTTGACGCTGAGTTTACGATGCAACGTGCTGCTGTTTGGACGGTCTGATCTTCCGCAATTTTCAGTAAGATGAGCAATTAACTTCATGACAGAAATAAAATAGATTCGACTGGCTATGATGTGCTGTTCACGAGGAGAATTTTTCGCAATATGAGCCAAACATAGCATAATTCCTGTCACTTTGAACTGCAGCAAACGCATATCATTTCCCTCGGACGCACTTTGAAGCTCTCGATTCGCCCAGTTTAAAAATCGTGTTAAAGCATGCTGCTCCATATCTGGTCGACTCAGTAGTCGTGATAAACACACTGCCGCTGCTTCCTGCGTCAACCCTGGATCACTGAGATAATTTTTACAAAGCGTGACAATATTTGACACAAGCGAAATCGTTCCACTAGTATGCTCGCCTGCTGAAGACGAATCGATTGTGTTTAAATCAAAAGGCACGAGGCACAACATTGAGAGCCAAAGCAACAGCACGTAGCGTGTCTCCCATACCGAGTGATCAGTTTGGTCCTGTGATTGCAACAACTGCAGTGTGGGCTCAAAATCACTTACTTCGTGAGAAAGTAGCTTGATAACTGTCTTGTAGCCTCGCACCTTGCACAATTGGTAAACAATTTGGAAAAGTTTATGCAGTCTCGGATCTCGATAAACTTGACAAGGGAAAACCACTCTCTTTCTGGCTTCAATTGTCCTTTCGGCCATCACGCGCTTGATCTCTGTTACTAAAGGATCTAGCATTTCACGCAGATATGGATCTAGTAGATGCGAGTGCTCCAAATACTTGTCCAGCTATGAATAAAGACGGAGTTTTGTAATCAATTTAAGAAACGATTGTAGGCAATGCCAACGTACGATCGTTAAGACGGTAGCATGAGCTGTTAAAAACTCGCGGTCAACATCACTCTTTTGCGTCGGAAATTGAATCTGAATCAATTTTCTAAGTAGCTCACGCACTTGGTCGCGCTCTTCAAAAAAATGCTGCTCGCTGCAGCTCTCGCTTTCCGGAACCGCTGGCATTCGATACACGTGTTTTACTTCAAGCAAAGTTTTATTGGTGGAATAACGCCATCAAAACTAATTTTTAATGGTGTACACTTTTCAGAAAAAACTGCAAAGAAAAGCTAAAAGACAAAAAAATGGAATTCCTACCTCAACATTTGGTGTTGAAATCTGTTTAGATTGGCCTCAAGCCCAACCTCTCTGCGTCTGTTACTGCCGACACTTTGTGCAGCTGCGCTGCCGTAGGTCTTTCGCTCAGAGGAAGCTAAGCTAAGGTTATCGACCTTACGTTCTATACTAGAACTGTAGCGGATCGCAATCCGCTTACTCCAAGAGTAACACAACCTTAACCCAAGGCAAGTGAACTCCTTTGCTTAAAATGAAACCTGTATCTCTTTGTTTTATTTGCGGCAGAGCCGCCTATATCTAAATCTATAGGTTTTCTAATCAAATAGTAAAACCTAATCAATATGCATAACTACTGGCAGTCAGTCACGTAGTGGCTTTTTGTTATGGTGTAGCCAAACCATTGTGTGGTCAGACCATCTTGTGTGACCCACCCTTTCATAACAGGGTACGTGTAACCTCGTCACACTCTTCCCCATCACAATTGTGAGCACCCACAATTCACATTTAACTGTCGCCTCGTACAAGGCT